AAAAAAAAAACCTGAACCCTACACCCCAAGTCCCAGCTAGACCTCTAAATCTCCGAGAGCAATATATGAACCACAACGACCATCCAAATCCAACCAATCAATCCACCAATCCACATGAATCCTCAACATCAAGACCGGCCGCCCCGTTTCAAAACCGCAATCACACACCACCGTCTCCAATGCTCGTCTTCACCCTCCCTTACAGGCACCCATTCCCTCCGCACCTCAACCCCCGACTCAATATAAGCCGCCAAATCCCTCTCAAAGGCCAACTCAATCTCAAACCCCATAGCCAGCATCATCTCGAAAAACTCCGCCACGACCACGCGGCCCAAATGCGGCTCGGACACCACCCAGACCTTGCCACCAGGAGCAAGGAACCACGCCATCGAGCGCGCGAGGCTCTCGTGCTGCGACTTCTGCCAGAAGCAATCAGCGGCGATGATACGGGTAAAGGCGCCCTTGTTTTGCCGGGCGAATGGGTCGGAGAACACGCCCCATTCATGGGGATGGATGGGGACATCTGCGGTGGGGCGATGGTGCAGATTGGAGGCTATGTTGGAGGCGATTGTGCCTGAGAGGGCGGGTGAAGATGGGTGATCTGTTGCTACCACTTTGGCTGCGTTGGCTAGGGCGCAGATGAGTGAGGGGAGTGCGGCGCCTGGTTCCCCCCATCCCATGGGATAGGGGGTGGTGTTAATGGTGGTGGTGGTGGTCTATAGAGAAAAGACAGAGGGTAACGTTACTCACCGGCGCCTAGTTCCAGTACGGTCTCGCCTTCTACCTGCCATAGCCCATGAGGTTCTTTCTTCTTATCGGGCTGTGGTGTCTCTGCGCGGCTGTAATATGCGTCTTCTACGCCCTCGGCCACTACTATGGCTGCGTTCCATAGGTAATGAGCAAATAGCTTGCGGCCCTCGTTGACCTGATCGGCTTGGTTGTCTTTCTCTGCCGGTTTTGTAGCATTCTCGTCTGAATGCTTATCATCTAGCCTCGGGTACCCGGGCACCATGATCTTCAGGTCGCCCCAGCGGGTGCCGTAGAGAAGCTCCTGGCCAGGGCCGCCTGGCTGTGGTGGCGGGTTACTATCTGGGAAGAGGTGCGACCGGAAAACACCGAACACATCCTCCGGTGATTCATTGATATTGGTGTTGAGTTCCTCAGGTAGTCCTGGTGCTGGGACGCTGGGGGTGGGGAGGTTCCGTAGACGCGAACGGAGCATTGTCTTTTTCTTGCTTTGGAGGTGGCTGCCGAGAAAGGGAATGAATGTATTGTTTCTTTTAGTCTAGTCGTCTCCTCGTTTTGACTATGGGTTTATTATAACCGATTCTGTTGACAATAGGTGGGGGTAGTAGTGTACTCTTTATGTATCTCAGCCGTGCAGCGGGAGCCAGATCTGGTGCCCCACTCACTACTAGTATGGCCTTGGAGATTAAGGGTTCGTAACAAACTACGTATTATAGAGAGATCTTCAACTTAAGAACGGCAAGGTTTTGAGTGACAGAATGAAGCCTTGGAAGGGATGTATAGCTCGTGCAAACCCCGCCAGAGCTCTGATATATTATATAGTAAATGCTGTGTTGTCCAAAGAATCATGCCAATCTGTTCATATATGCAATATGCCCAACGAGAGAGGAACTAAAACTACTGGGATATCCGCTATAACGCTCAAGCAGTACAAATCATGCACACAATAGATAACACCCTCATAAACCCCACAACCCATGCTACATGACATGAATTTCCCACAAAAATGCAAGGCTAAAACAGGGAGAAAAGGGAAAGAGGAAACTAAGCTTTCACCAGTTTCCGGTCTCGGTCTCGGTCTCGGTCTCGTTCTTGCTCGTGCTCGCGTTCACGCTCAGTCATCGGTTGTCCACCCTCTTTCGCGGCGGCTGCGGCCCGCGCGTGGTGGTCAACCGTGTCGAGGATCGCTTGCATTAGCCGTTGATTGGCATCTGGGTCATCATCCTCGGCGGCTGGGTTGGTGTTGCGATTGATGCCGATATGCCTGTCATGACTTAAGGAGCCCCCTCGGATCTCACTCATCGCCCGGCGGGGCGACGGCTCCTTCCCGAGTGGAGTCCCGGGTATGGGACCCGCTGTCGGAGCGGATTCCCTGCGCACGTTATACTCGATCTCTCGGTGACGATCGATTTCGGGCACCACTACAGCCAAAGGGGGCGTGGGAGCGGAAGATATAGATGGGGCCATCGGGGCCGGTGCTGTGGTCGTCGGTAAGGACTCTTTCGGGGTCAAACTCTCTGGTCGCTCCCGTGTCATTGGATCGGGGCGTGGCTCACGGGGCTCACGTGGCTCCTGGAGCTCCTCCGCTTTGACATCCTTCCAAGAACACTTGGCATGCTTCTTCGTGCAGCCCATGCATGCTGTAAGGTTCTTCAAGCAATCCATGTGGAGGCGACGACACCGGTCACATGGGGGCAGTATGCGTTCACCGCGTTGCAGCTCCTCCATGCGGGCAACCATCTCCATCTTGAACGGGCCGCCGTCGTCCTTCTCATGGTGGTGGGACTTGGGCGGAGGGAGTAGCGATGACGGAGTGTTGGGGATGGCAACTGTGGCTGGGGCGGGGGTGTACATATTGTACTCTGTCGCATCCGACGCCCGCGGCCGTGGCCGGGATGACTGGCGGTTCTGGGACCCAGTCCCTTCTTCATAGCTGCGAGATTGTCGGTCTTGGGTAGTGAAGAACTTCTTCATCAACTCCGCGCGCGTTGTCGGAGATGCGCCTTTGATGGAGGTCCCATTGATAATGGTGACATTATCTGTGTTGGAGTGCGAGAACATAAACTGTTGTGACAGCGCATTGTCTTCAGTCGTGGGTTCCCCACCGAGCCGGCCGGTGTTGACCGCAACGAAGCCGGTGGAGGGAGACTGGGTGTTCGAGTGGCTGCTGCCGTTCAGCGGATGTTGACTTCCATTGGCGTCGCGCCAGACGGGGCTGATAGAGCGATGTTGTTGTTGCTGTTGCTGCTGCTGTTGCTGTTGTGGCTGTTGCGATTGCGATTGCGATTGCGATTGTGATTGCGACTGCGAATGAAGAGATAGATCATTCTCTCGACGGGTGACAATCGCTGTTCTTCGGTTTTTGAGACGATGATTGAGTTGTCTCGCTCGCGCGGACACTAGAAGAGGCGAGCGGTTAGCGTCGGCAGCCATACACATCGCTTTACATGGAAACTCACCTTGGTCCGCGACCTGGATAATTTGTTGGAGGTTCTTCTCCAAAATCTCCAACGCGCCCAACTCCTTCTCCTCATCCTCAATAATCGGCTGCGGAGGGATCATTTTCTGCGGCATTCCCGATGCGATCAGCACGAAGTCTTCTTCGCTGATTTCCACCCGACACTGCTTGGTGTAGAATTGACAGACTCGCACACCATTGCGGGTCTTCTCCAGATTGAACTGCTCTGGCTTGCTCTTGGCGAACTCCACCACGTCCAGCCAGGTAATGTTGGGGGAGTCTTTGCCGTGCGATTTGAGCACGCGGGGAGGGCCATCGAAAAGGCGCTCAAAGCGCTTGATCAGGATGGGCCCCAAAGGGCATGCGCCCAAATTTCCGGCAATACTTTCGTGACGATGTAGGACACCATCATATTCACCGATCAGGTGTATGATCGCGGGCATCGTATCATCGATGGAGACCAGAGGGAGATTATCCGGATACTGACGCGCCAGGTAGTTGATCTGCAGGTGGTTCGAATGGGTTTTGGGAACTTTGGAAGCGATGGGAGGGAAATCGCCGGACGGCGATCGAGGTCGCTTGCTGGACGGCTCTGCCGTCGCTGTCCTGGACTCCATGGCGTGCGGAAGAGAAAGTGAGCCGGGGAGGCGCACAAGTCACGAAGCGGGATTGAATAAATACAATAAGGGAAAAAAAGAAAAAAGAAAGAAAACGACGGCGGCAATGACTCGTGGAAGATGGCGTCAGAAGCGCAAAGGGGAAATTATTAAGCGATTCCAGGGCGATTGAGTAACAAGAACGTGGACGAAAGAAGTGCAGCCGATGGCGGAAGCACTGAAGGCTGCGGGTTGAGGTTTAGCCACTCGTGCCCGTTCAAGTTAGGTAATGACAATAAGAGGTACCCCAACGAATCTGGGGTTCGAGGGGAAAAAGGTCGAGAAAAAATACACGAAGAGAAAGAAAGAGAAAAAGAGTAATGACCAGGGCAGGATACGCGCGTACACCGAGATGCGGAAGAAAGAGGAGGGGGGAGGAAGGAGAGAGAGAAGATGTTGGGGAGGGAAATGGGAGAGAGCGGACGCTGAGGAGAGGAAAGGAAGCTCACGGGAGGGGGGTATATTTGGAACAAGAGATTGAAGGGAGAAAAAAAAAAAAAAAAAGGCGGACGGAACGGAATAGCCGTTGGGTAGGTTAAGTTTCTCCTGGAAAATACACAGTATCACGCTCGTTCCATCAATCTTGGTTATCTTTAGGTGTGACTGGGGATGGAAATGTCATTCAACCCAATCACTTTCGTTCCTGACTTGGAATGGAAGGTAGTAGTCAGGACAACTCTCATCCAGTGAAAGAGCTGGAGAAAGGACATGAGCGAAACAAAAACACCCAATGATATTACCAACAGTGCAGTTACTGACGGTGAGCGGAACGGACGCAAAAGCTCTGTTCCTTCAATCTTTTCCTCCCTCCCGTAAGGTTCGATGATGCCGAGTGGGACACGATGAATGGCTGGATTGAATGGACCCGAACCCACAGCCGGGGATTGGGCGATCCTGAAAGTCTCATCTAACCCGATCCCTCTTAGTCGCGGTCCCGTCAAGACAAGGTGAAGGGTGAGTACCTTAGCGCCTTAGGCAATCCAGCACGTAGCGGGCGGAGTCCCGCCGGTCTCTTCCGCCGTCCATTCGGTGTGGCCCGGGAGCTCGGAACAGACTCGTCACCATTCATACCTGTTTTTTACTTGGTACGTAGTACTCGATCTTACCGGCAGCCTAGGAGAGTATCTTGAGCCATTTTCTTTCTTCATTGATTGATGAACATTGATTGATGAATTGAGATCTTATTATTGAGAGATTGCTTTTCGCTCCCGAGTGAAATATTATTATTATTATTATTATTATTGTTAGCATCGGATTGGAATTTCGTCACTAGTGTAGAAAAGATATACCGCTATTTTCCCGAAGTTTGATGGGGGCTTATGTTATGATCCCTTCTGATTGCATCAATCTCATATCAGATAGGAGGAAAGATACCAACCTAGGGACCGAATTCTGAAACCCCTTGCATGACCGGCCTATCGGTAGGACAATGACAACCTAAAATTCCAGATTCATCCGTGACGAGGACCATTTTGAAATTCTTCGAAATTAATAAAAAGTAACAGAAACCTGTTTTTTTTCCCCGTCTTTTCTTCAGGTGTAGCTCCCAGGCACACCAACATCAAACGTAGGATACTGGTCGAGTGTATGTACATACTTTGTCGATACCAGTATAAAGGGAAGGTCCCATTTTCCGAGACCAACCCAACTTGCCGCTCCGCCCGTAAGGGTGCTGCCTAAGCCCGACCTCCATTGGGTAAAGGCCGACTCTGGCCGTCCACTCCACTGTCCTCTTACCACCCATGTGGACTGGATTTCATACACGCTAGTACGGGACGGGAGTAAGGTATGGTCACTGTTGACCGTGTGACGCGCAGTAATTGTGCGTTATCAGAGATTTTTTCCTTTTTTTACCTGGTGATGCTTAGCGGTCCGTTCCCGTGACTTGTAGGTTCCCTCTCACGGCTACCTTGCCTGCTGCTGACCTACTGTTACTGCTATTATTGTTGAACCACAGAGGCACAGCACATTTGTTCTCTTGCCGCTGACTTACTGAATCGGCCCCCTCCTCGAAAATCCCTCATACATCCGTGCCCCTTCCACCCCATCCTTTCCTGCAATTTGACGGACCAACCAAGTCCAAAGTGGGATCTGGTCTCTCACTCACGCACCCACCCATTGCAATTCTAGACAATTCCCCTCATCGGTTCCCCTCTCTTGTCTTACTATCTTTTCCCCTCTCTATAATATAACCGAGGAAATACAATCAACAAATAAAAAACCCCCAAAAAAATTAATAAAAAAAAACAAAAAACTTTGTCCCAGCCAAGCATGTCCGAACGAGGATCCTTCCGTGGAGGTCGTGGCCGCGGCGGAGGCCACGACAGGTCTGGCGGCCGTGGCGGTCATGCCAAAAGTGGCGGTGCTGGTGGCGGTGCGCAGCAGCAGGAGAAGCCCAAAAAGGAAAACATCCTCGACCTCAGCAAGTACATGGATAAGGAAGTTCGGGTGAAGTTCAATGGTGGCAGAGAAGGTAGGCCCACTCCTGTCATATCGGTTTTCTATTTTTTTTTTATATTTCCCAGATCCACTGACCGGTGCACAGTCGTCGGCACGCTCAAGGGATTCGACCAACTGATGAACCTGGTTCTCGATGATGTCAAGGAATCTATGCGCGGTAAGTGACTCTGGTATTTGTCCATAGCTTTTTTGCTTAATTCTAACGGCTTGTAAATAGATGACGAGGGCAACGAGAACACTCGTTCGCTTGGTTTGATCGTTGCTCGTGGTACTATCATTGTGCTCATCTCACCTGCTGATGGCAGCGAAGAGATTGCCAACCCCTTCGTGCAAGCGGAGGAGTAAACGAAATCACATATGACGGATAATACCGGCCATTTCTGACATCAGCCTTGCATCTTTGGTCTTAGAGAAGTTCAAGACGAGCTCCCCTGCTCTCATGCGATACTTATCACAGCAATTGCGGATTTTAGTCTATTGCCTTTTGCGTGTGTGGACTGGTGTCAGACTACTTATTTAGCCATCCCCTCTATCACTCAGCTTGCTAGCGCCCCGCCTGGCAAGTCTTTGTCTTTCTCCAGAAAGGCTGATGTTGGTGTATCCACTCTATGAGGTCGAGTAGTATCTCCGCCTTTGGTTGTTGTTAATAATATGAAGCGTCTGAAAGCGAATGGTCGGAAGCAGTTAAACGCAAAAATAAAATAATGAATCACGAGTCATGAAAACCATGACATTATTCATCCGCATAGCTTTGTTCTACCGAATGTTGATCGCTACTAAGATATCGTCCACATGGCGTGACCGTGCTAAGCCCGTGACATCATGTTATATGACAGTAAGCTAGCGTCATGGAAGCTCAGAGCTAAATTACATTTCTGGTCACGAATACGATTACGAATGCTCTAGACCGTCGCAGATTGGACAGCTTGAGGTGGACATATTCAAGGATCCTGATCAATCGGCTTTGTTGGAAAGTTAACGCCGCTGCTTAATATAATTTAATCGGCAGCCTATATTCCACCATAAATACAGCTCGATACCCATGTACCAGCTACGTTGATCCTGCACCTATCCTATCCTCCCTTATCGTGTTTATCCCGGAACCCTAAGTGATACTAAACTGAATCACCATGAAAGTCCATCTCTGGTCGGTGGCAGTAACAGCCACCCTCTCCTCGGCCTTATTCATTCCCACCTCCCAGCAAGCCTTAAATGACCTCGACCTCGACAACATCGACGTAAAAGATAAAGCCGCCCTCGACGATTACCTCTTCCAACTCTCGCTCTTGGACGCCGCATCCGAATTCACCTCTATCTTCGACACAGTAGACGCAGAAGACTACGACTGCGACTGCTTGGATGATGACTACTATGGCGACACAGAGTACCTCCCCGAGGACATCACCGAGCTGCCCCCCTTCTCCCAACTACATCCCCCACACCACCCGCCTTCCGACAAGACCATCTACGAGCTCATCACCGAAAGCAAATACACCACTATCCTGGCGAAGCTCATCAAAGAAGACGAGGAACTAGTCCATCTCCTCAACTCGACAGAAGCAAACCACACTTTCTTCGCTCCCACAGACGACGCATTCAAGAAGATTCCGCACCACGAGGACCGCAAACCACCCAAGGAGCTCATCCGCGCTGTCATCAAGTACCACCTCGTCCCAGGACTTTGGGATGCCCGCACCGTCTTCCATAGCCACACCCTGCCGACTGAATTGGAGAGTCCAGCATTGGGAGACAAGCTCCCACAGAGACTATCCGTCCGAGTAGGCTGGAGAGGTCTCACGCTAAACTTCTATAGTCGGGTTGTAGCACCTGATATCGTAAGTCATCCATACCCCAATATCTCTCTCTTTCTCTCTCTCTCTCTCTCTCTCTCTCTCTCTCTCTCTCTCTCTCGTCATTCATCCCTCCAACCAAAAAAAAAAAAAAAAAAAAATTGCAACCCACCAAAACTCCAAGAGAAAAAGAAACTAACAATCTCCCAGCCCGGGAAAAACGGCCTCATCCATGGTATATCCAGCGTCCTCATCCCACCCCCAACAACCAAAACCCTCCTCGACCTAGTCCCCACAAAATTCAGCACCTTCGACCTCGCCCTCATCAAGACCAACCTCACCATCCCAGAAAACAAAGACAAAGATACCAAAAAGGGCCACACAATCTTCGCCCCCTCAAACACTGCCTTCAGTAAACTCGGCCTCAAAATCAACGCCTTCCTGTTCTCACCTTACGGCCAGAAATACCTCCTCGCTCTTCTCAAGTATCATATTGTTCCGGACCGCACGCTGTACTCGGATGTCATTTACACGGAAAAGGGCGAGATCCGGCCGTTTGGGGTCAAGGGATTCACTCATTTGGATCTGCCGACGTTGCTGGGGGACAGGAGGTTGAGTGTTGATGTGGCGCGGTTTGGGCCGTATGCTTCGTTGAAGGTTAATGGGTTTCAGCGGGTGGCGGTTGCGGACGCGTTGGGGCGGGATGGGAACGTGCATATTTTAGATGAGGTGTTGGTTCCGCCGAAGAAGGTAGTGGAGGGGGCGGCGGAGTGGGATGAGTGGAATGAGGAGTTGACGGTGGAGGATCTGAAGGAGCGGCTTGCGGGGTGGGTGGAGGAGGATGATCATGATAATTATGATGAGGGGATGGAGCTGTGGACGCATGGATTTGACTTGTAGGTTGAGCCGTTTGCTGGTTTGAGTATCATATATACTAGTTACTTTCAGGATGCCAAAAGTTGGCTCTACGAGATATGTACGCACATGCTAGGTCTACCGAGCCATTCGAATAATGTGATATGTCTGTAATCAATTGCATCTGTATCTTCGTGCATATATCAATGGCGTCATATTTTCAAAGCAAGCAAACATCCGCTGCCGGGTTGCAATAAAATCAACTCGGGGAGGTATGATCCCAGCTTTCCGCACAGATAAAAGCAGTTGTAAGTCGGCCGTGAGACTCAGTCTTCTGAGGGCAGATTTCTAAAAATGTATCCTCCAAAATAAGAACCATGTGCAATGACATCGCCAGATCATTTCATACGAGATATCTCCTTAACCTACTTCCCTCCGCATATATAAGAAGTCTTTCCTCCGGGGGAAAGGGTCCATCGTGGGATTGGCCCCTCTATAGGGCTGTTTAATGAAGCCTTCTGGTCGGCTTCAGGAGCGCCTGAAATGACGACTCCAGTGCTTTCTTGATATCTTTGTAGCTAACAACAAAGCAACTTTGTTCATCGCGACTCACCAAAGTGATTTTCTCATCGGTGCCCGCATCTAACTTATTTAGACAAGAAAGCACATGACCCAGATCAACGACCGGGTCACCCTGAGCATCAACTTGGTGGAAAACGTAGTCGCGGAACATCTTGAGGAAGTATCGCTCCCCATTCTCAGACCACTGCCGGTCGTGCTCATACTCCGGCCGCTCGTTGATGAGATTCAATTTGGTCACTAGACGGACCAAACGGCCATTCTCAAGTTCCCGGCTCAAGTCCGACGTCAGTTCATCGTCCATGTGAAGGGCTGAATCGAATGTTGACATTAATTGTGAAGAAATGCCAGTTATGAAGATGTCAATATTTCGATCTTGGTCCTTTTGCAGTCCATTGAGCAACCAGAACACCGAATTTTTGAGTTGTGGACTGTAAGCACGTGTGAAATGTTCCATAGCTTTGGTGGGGTTATGCATGACACTGGGCGTATTGGCGCCCAAAGTCATAATGAGTTGTCCGAAGTTAACCAAGTCCTGACGCTGGAGGTCCGCCATAGACCGCTGGGTGTCATACTGGACCACGTCCATAATGGCACAGGCGTTCAGGCGAATACGATTTTTGCCGGTGACGAGAACTTTACTAGGATCAAGAATCCTTGCGGCAAGCCCGTTGCTGTGGATGGACTTGAGGCCGTTTGCGATCTGGGTCATATAGCCCCACAAGACCTGCTCCGGAATATGCGTATTATGCCGACCTTGAAACCTATTCCCAGCACCCAGATGTTGTTCCGCAAGTGTTTTGGAGAGAGGGTGGTAGTCAGTGACAAAGATCAGCGAGCTGTCTTGGAAGCTCCTGCTGGTAAATGCATCGTGAACTGTTACCACGCTTCCATTACAAACTCGTTTCCACGCCTGGACCGAACGGATCGCTTTCTCATTTGTCAAGCGAAAACCTTGGGAGCGAGTCAGCTGGGATATTTTGAAATTGAAGAATACAAGAGTTCACCTTCGAGTCTTCGAAGAGCATAGAAATTGCCATCTTTGCTGGACTGCGCTTTGTATACCCAACTGGGAAAGCCAAAGATGGTTGCGTTCTTCTGGTGATTTAGATCCAATGGGACAAGGGAATGGAAGTAATCGACTTGAGCGGGTAGTTGGGTATCTGGCTTCCAGTCAGCTCCGCTGGGTATGGCTCATGAAATGGAATCGGCATACTCGGCAAGGTTTGTAGTGTAGCTGCGGCTTTCTTCTGCAGTTCCTCGCGGAAGTCATTGGGAAGGAAAAGGTCATGAACATTCCGTTGGTAGCCTAGAGTGTTTTGGCTATGAGGACCAATAGGAGCGTACAAATGGTACTGGACCTGTATTGAGGATGATAATGTAAGACATGCTCATAGTCTCAAGTGGCGTAGAGACCTACCGGTTGTTGGAAGCCAGACTGTCCGGCGAAAAAGGCACCGCCTAGTGCTGCAGCTGCCGCCGCAGTATCATGTGCAAAAGGGTTTGCCTGGACTGGACCGACCGCACTAGCCGCAGACAGGGGGTTCGAGGCTGTCACAAAAGGATCAAACGGGCTCGTCGAAGGAACGCCACCGTTACTATTCCCTTGGAGAGAGGCCTGGGGACGTGTGTTAGTTAAGTTATAACGAGAAGGGCCCGTAGAGTGTGTCATGTGATGGGACTCTGATGGAAATTGACAAACGGGGGAGGTAAAGAGGGTCGCAGGCATGTAGCCGCAGTCCGTCCAAACGCTCTGCATCTTAATAGCAATAGGCTTGCCTAATCTGACAAATGCAGGATGCCAGCTACCGATAGTTTCGGTAGCTTTTAGGGGCGACAGAAATTCTCGAGCAGGCAGAGTGGCAGGATGTGGGGTTAAAAAGATAGAAGAGTGAATTGCCATAGGCAAGGGAAGTTTATTTATTTTCCGGTTTTTTGTTTGCATTTTCACTCGCAAGGTGCAGTCTTACCAAGTGGGTAGTATCAAAGCCCTGAGGCACAAATTCCTGTACTTCAGCCACAGACCAGTCCGGCGTCATTGTTTCAGCACGACCCGACGGGGTGCTGGTATTAGATCCTGCTTTGAGTCAATGGGCAATGGTGCACCAGTAAGTGAAGGGTCATCATGACATACGTGAAGTTATATTCCTTGGTTGGAAGGGAGCTGCATTGGCAGCTTTGGGGGATATTGTTGCAGCTTTCTTCGCTGTAACTGATGCTGTAGTTGGCGAAGAGCCGTTGGAGGATAGTAGAGAGGGTGTAAAGCTCGGGGAGTCGACGTTCAGCCGTCTTCTACTGTTGTTGCTACTGGTACAATCCACGTAAGTCATTGTCACTACACGTCGAAACTGAACTTTTCATGAAGAGAAGTTCAGTTCGCTGCCAGGGTATGCCAACCTGTCGGATTGATATGTTGTATTCACTTTATGCGGGTCATGATTGAAGGCGCATCCTTTCGGGAATAAATGCCAAGGTCAGATGAAGTTCGTAATGATGATACATGCGGTAATGGGCTAAGGGACTATCGCGGCACCTTTATCTTCATATCGACAACGACCGTATATGGTCACATTTCGACATAGGGTATCTTTCGCATTTTCTACCAGGACAACAGCATATCATGTCAGGTCAACTAGAATTACCCACATTGTGAATCCAAATGTATGTCGGACTAACCTCGTGCCTTCATTTTAGGTGATCCCGTCGCCCGGCGGGAGTCATCCAGGGTAGGCTTCCCTGCGGAAGCCATTGTATCTCAATCCACGATTCGGTGGGGGATTAACGTGAAACGATATCCATTGACTCAGAACAAAGAAAAACCGGACGACCGAGTATATCTAGAGGAAACCACATTCCTCTACTGAATAAATTCTGCAGCCTAATCCAACCAGTGGGTGACACTTGCGTCACGCCTTGAACAAAGGGTTTTGCTAGGGCAATTCGCAAGAAGCCAAAGACGGATACGTATGTATTTCCAAATTGCGCCGCCCTCAACGCGAGAGAATATACAATCTAACAAAAAGAACCGATGAATCACCACCCGAAGACTAGGAACATAACGCCGTCTTCATGCCACGGATGGGTTGAAGAGGGTTTCGCGAGGCGACATGGGGATAACAGGGCCCGCGGGGAGAGGGGAAGGCGAGAGAGGGAATGGAATGAGATGGTCTGTGAGTGTCCAACTCCGGAATGGCCTGTGCACGGACCATGTACTGACACCAGGCGCGCGTCTACCGCTAACCTCGAGGCGGCGATGACGGAACTCTACCTAGTAAGAGGACAGCTAAGTCATCGACGTTGACCAGTCGTCACTACTTTGATATTTCTCACATCTTTGGGCTCCCGGGCTCCTTGTTCTTTGAAGAGTCTTTTATTTAACCGTTTTGTATTTAACTATCTCCAGGCTTATTCACTGCGTTACGTTTACGGTCCACATCCATTAGCTATTAGTACCTCTCCGTTGATCCCGACGAGCCTCTCACAAAAGCAATTGTTTTCCCCAATTGTATGGATCGAGCCATTGATCGACAATGTCCTCCTCGGAGCTTGATATCTCCCAGCTCTCCGACAGCGAAAGGTCTGCTCTAGACACCTATATAGCTGTAACCGGTCAGGAGCCATCTGAAGCTATTCCTTTGTTGCGCCGTTCTCAATGGAATGTGCAGGTATGACAGATCTCATATGTAACAAATCAGTTGAGTGATAGCTGCAGCTAACAGATCAAACCGAAGATCGCTATCTCCAAGTTTTTCGATGGGGAAGGCCCAGACCCAGTCGAAGAAGCTCGTGCAGCTCTCAATACCCCTCCTCCTCGACCTAACCGTCAAACCCAAAATCTCATGACAGATGACCTCACCGCAAACTTCTCCTCGGCTGTACGTGCCGCCGACCCTGCTCCCCGAGTTGAGACTCAGCCAGAAGGACAACCGGTTTATCGTCCGCCTTTCCTACTAGCTCTCCTATTCACTCCGATCAACCTTCTATACCGATTACTTTACAGTTCCTTCCGCCTCTTTGGGGCACTGTTCCCTTTCCTTCCACGTTTCTTCAATACAACCGCAAGCTCAGCTCTTCACGGTACGCGACGGAACACCAATGGACGCCGGCCACTGGGGCCTAAAGACACGGCCGCCAGGTTCATTCGAGAGTTCGAGGAGGAATATGGTACCAACACGCTGCCTTTCTTAGAAAATGGATACAATATGGCTCTAGAAAGAGCCCACCGGGACCTCAAATTTCTTCTCGTGGTTCTCCTGGCTCCTGAACATGATGATACGAACGGTTGGGTCCGGGATACCCTCTTGTCCCGGGAGGTCATCGACTTTGTCAATGACCCGCAAAACAACGTCATTGTTTGGGGAGGCAATGTGCAGGATTCGGAGGCATACCAGGTTGCAAACTCTCTTCGGTGCACCAAGTTCCCTTTCGCAGCTGCCATTGTTCACACTCCCAATGTATCATCAACGGCCATGTCCGTCGTCTCTAGAATATCCGGGACTACTTCGCCGTCAGAATTTATTGAGAAACTCCGAACCGCCATCTCACAGCACAAGGAGCCTCTAGAGAGGATCGGGGTCACTCGGGCCGAGCAACAGGCTTCCCGCAGTATACGGGAACAGCAAGACTCCGCCTAC